TGGGCAGAGATGGTGCCAGCACACCACTCACTACTAATTGTTGGGGTATAGAACAGTGAATATCCTCAAAAGACCCCGAGGATCCAGGAAGTTACCTGGGCCAGAGAGACTCTGATGCCAGGGACATGCTTAGTTACTCTCCAGTATCTGGCAGGACTGGATTCCTAGCCCCCCATACAATAGACCCCTAACACCTTCTCTGTGCTAAGTATTTGCCCAGGGAGGCAGGGGAAAAGAGCCTTGAACTTGGAATCCGGAGACCTGGGCTTAATCCTTTCTAAGTAGTTGTATGAGCATGGATGGACAAGTCATTTTGCTTCTTCAGGTCTTAGTTTCTTCATCTATAAAATAAAGTAGTTATATAGCTCTATAAAGGACTAAATCATTTTAAACGTCCGTTCCAGCTTTAAAGCCCACCCTGTGCTCTGCCTTGGAGACCTTTTACCAAACTCCAGGGAGAGGAATGTGTCTGTCAGAATTAACTGTCAAATAATAGGGTGATTTGAAGGAAAGAATCCTCTGTAGCCTTCTGTCTTCTTCACGCCCCTCCCAAAACCAAATTAAAGGAGAATTGGTTTTATACTTTTCCTGCTTAAGTAATTTTTACATATGTATATGTGTCTACAACCTTCAGGAATCACTGCAAATCTGCAGTTGTGCTAGGCATTTGGGCTTCCCTGGGCTTCCCAACAGGTGCTGTGTGAGAGCCCTCAGCAGCAGCAGCAGCAGGACTTTTGGGGAGAATGAGACAGATCAAGGTTCTGGAGCAGACACTCCAAAAAGCAACATGAAGACTAATGCAGTCCCCAGCCAGAAAGGCTCCTTTCACTCAGATGGAGATTCTTCAGAGCCCCTGTATCCTCAGCACCCAATGTTGCCACCCCCTACAAACTGCTGCATGAGTGGCTGCCAAAACTGCGTGTGGCTCCAGTATGCTGAGGAGATCTTACGACACTATTCGGATGGTGGGGCCAAAGCGTTGGCTGCAGTGGACGAAAACATCCAAGATGAGAACATTAAGGCCTTTATCAAGATGGAGATCAGGTTTCGAATGAAAGAGAAAAACTGAGGTACTTTTCTCCACCTGGGAGCTGTCTCTCAGAGAGCTACAACCACCTCTAGTAATTTTTGTGCCTCCTTTTTCCAGGGGCCTTCAGATAAAAAGTGAAAGATAATAGGATGAGTATTTATTAGCTTTGCCTGAAAATAAATGCCTCCACCCCTTCACACCCTGACATTTCACCTGGAAGTGTGTGCCCTCTGCTGATTCTGTGTTTGTTTCTCTTTGAGAGATCATTTTTGAAACATCTAAAAATGCCTTGGCAACTTTTTAGTCTGACTGTAGCTCTTCATTCTCAAATAAATTATCAAGTATATGGCATTATATAAAAATGTATAGCTACAATCTCTTCCAGGGAGCTTGTAGACTAAAACTAATGCACTAATTAATACACAGACCTTTGTAGGTTACTGAGAAAAGATAAAACAAACCATGTACAATAAAGTGCTGTTAAAAAGCATTACCTCGGCTAAGAATTGGAAATAAAGGGATGCCCATTAATTGGGGAATGGCTAAACAAACTGTGGCATATGATTGTAATAGAATATTATTGCACTATAAGAAATAATGAGCAGGTGGATTTCCGAAAAACCTGGAAAGACTTACGTGAACTGATGCATAGTGAAATGAACAGAATCAGGAGAATGTTGTACACAGTAACAGCAATATTGTACGATGAAGAACTGTGAATGACATAGCTATTCTCAGCAATACAATAATCCAAGACAATCCCAAAGGACTCATGATGAAGCATACTATCCACCTCCAGAGAAAGAACTGATATTGATTGAATACAGACTGAAACATGCTATTTTTTTTATTCAAGTCTTGTACAAAATGACTAATGTGGAAGTGTTTTACATAATTGTACATGTATCATCTATATCTGATTGCTTACCCTCTTAGGGAGGGGGGAGGAAAGGGAGGGAGGGAGGAATAGAATTCGGAACTCAAAACTTTAAATAAAAATATTTTATAAAATTGGGGGAAAAAAAGCATTAGCTCTTCTACCATAAATTAAGCTTGACTCCATCGACAGTTAATTAAGTGTTGTCTAGATGCTTATGTTCTGTTTATGGGGAGCAACGTGTGTGTGTGTGTGTGTGTGTGTGTGTGTGTGTGTGTGTGTGTGTGTTTTGGGGAGGGGGGAGAACTAGAAGCTGCAGCAATTAGGAAAGGGCTTAGGTAGACAGGTAGCACTTAAGCTTAATTTTCAAAGGGCAGCTCACAATCTCCATGTGGTTGACCAAAGTGAAGACAGTTTCAACTCGATATTTGTCCATATTTGATAATAACTTATATTGTAATAAAAACAGCTCCTTGAGGGCAAGGAACTCCATTTTTATCTTTGTATCATTACAAACAAGCACAGTGCCTGGCAAATAGTAGTCACTTAATAAATGTTTCTTGAATTAAATTTCAAAGGAGTGGGCTGATTTTGGCAATTGGTCACTGCTGAAGAATAGTAAGCTGCACTTGATGTCCAGGCTGCTGCTGTATTTAAGCAAGATGGAAGCTGATTAAAACGTTTTCAAGTGGGCTTATGTAATTTTTAAGGAATTCCAATGAACTCTGATATCAGTCACACAGCGTTGCCTACTACGTACCAGGAATTGTGCAGTTGCTGGGAATAACAAACCAAATAAATAGCCCCTGCCCTCATAGGGTTGACATTCTATTAGGAGAACATATACATCTAAAGTAGATAAAAAATACATGTGAGGTAAGTGCAAGGTAATTTTGGGACAGGCAGGCACCTGAAGAAGGTGGCACTTGAACTTTGAAAGAAACATAGATTCTAAGAGGTAAAGATAAGGAAAAAAGTATTACTGTGATTAGATTATAGAGTAGTGTGTGGATAAAGGTTATAGAACTATGAACCATGGAATATTAGCAGTAGAAAGTACTTTGGATTATCAAATCAAATGATCAAGTCAGTCATTTTACGTTTGAGAATACTGAGGTCTGGAGAGAAGATTTGCTAAAAGATCATACAGCTAGGCAGTGTGATTGTATTAGATGAGGTCATAATGACAAAATTTCTGTTATAACATGGCAAGCTTTAACAGCTGTTTCCAATATGAACAAATGTTTAGTATTTACATCCTCTGTATTCCCCACTATCTCTTTCCACAACCCCATCCCATTAAATCATCTTTTATAATGATGAAAAAAAAAGAGGAAAAAAGAAAAATCTGCAAAAGTCTCTATCTGTAGGTATCCCACAGGGTTCTGTCCTGGGCCCTCTTCTCTCTATATACCACTTCACTTGGTGATTTTATCAGCTCTCATGGATTTAATTACCATCTCCTTGCTGAGAATTCTCAAATCTATCCTACCCTAACCTCTTGACTGACCTCCAGATTCACATCTTCAACTTTCAGACATCTCTCACTGGATGTCCAGTAGACATCTTAAACTCAACATGTTTAAAACCAAACTCAATTATCTTTCCCCCTAAACCCAACCCTCCTCTTACCATCCCTATTATTGTAGAGGACAACATCATCCTCCCAGTTTCTCAGGCTTATAACTTAGGTGTTACCCTTGACACCTCACCATCTTTCACTCACCCTCCATATCCAATCTATTGTCAAGGCCTGGCAATTTCACCTTTGCAGTATTTTTCAGTACCCCTTTCTCTCTTCTTACACTGCCACCACCCTGGTAAAGGTCTTCATTACCTCGTTCTTGGACTGTTGTAATAGCCTGTTGTTGGGTTGGCCTGCTTCAAGTCTTATCCCCATTCCAATTCATTCCACGTTCAGCCACCAAAGTGATTTTCCCAGATGACAAGTCTGACCATATCTTTCCCCCCTCCCCCCAACCACTCTATAGACTCCAGTGGCTCCCTGTCACCTCCAGGAATACAGATGAGGCAGAGAAGGTTTAAGTGACTTACCTAGGGTCTCATAGCTATAAGTTCCTGAGGCCAGATATGAACTCGGATCTTCCTGAATTTACTAAGTACGACCATTCAGAACCTACATCGGTAAAGTAAATAAGTAAGTAGTTCTGACAAAGGAAATAAAGGAAATGCAGGAAATAAGGAACATACAAATAGAGTTAGCTGCTATCATGACAGCTACAATGGGTTCCAGGACACTTTTTAAAAAAAATTGTATAGTCAGTTACAAATTGTCTACCCCCATTGAGAAGGCAAGAAATACAATACTCATTATACATATAAAGTCATGCAAAACATTTTTCCACTTTAGTCATGTTCCAAAGGGCAAAAAAAGCAAGACAAATAAAGGGGAAAAATGCTTCAATCTGCACTTTTAAATCCATCATTCTCTATTTGGAGAGGGATTTCACTTTTCACCATGAGTCCTTTGGAATTGTGGTGGATAATTGTATTGGTCAGAGTTACTAAGTCTTCCATAGTTGATTATCTTTACAATATTGCTGTTACTGTACATTGTTCTGGTTCACCTCACTTCACCTTATCACTTCATATAAGGCTCCCTAGGTTTTTCGGAAATCATCCCTTTCATCATTTCTTACAACACAATAGTATTCTGTCACATTCTATTCAGACCTCTTACAGAAATGATAATCTTACTATATTTTTGGTAACAATTAAGGAGATGATATTCCAGCCGCAAATTGGAAACTAAGAGGCTAAACAAAGTGATACAGGAATCTAATGGAATGTTATGGCAAAGTGAAGTAAGTAGAACTGAAAGAACAATTTCTGCAGTGATGAATTGCCAATTTGTGGAATAAAGGAACGGGACCACAAGGAGGTCCTCTGGGTTGAATGGGGGGCATTCTTGGGATACTTTCTGGGGAAGACCACAATGGCTGCATAGAGTACATAGGTAAACAGCATAGAAAATACAGGGACAAATGGCACAGGGAATGGTATACAGAGGCAGAAAGTATGGGGATGGGGTGGTAAAGGGGGACAGACAATTCGGGGAAGAAAATAGGAAGAGGGCAGCATTTGGTATTCTGCTGGTCTTACTGTGGTTTTCCAGAGTTTGTCTTAGGTTTACAGACCATGAGCAGTTAGCAGGACCAAAAGGCTCTTACAGTAAAGGCTTAGTTGGTTTCCCCTGATTTAGCACATGGTCTCATGATGTGATTAGTTAATTTATGATACAGTTTGCAAGTTCACTATTATGCTCCTTTGATCTGTGGAACAGTCTGTAAGTGACTTCTTTTATTGTTTGTCTTTTGTTTTCAAAGAGGACCAATGACATCTTGGGGTGATGTCTTGACTCACTTGTGAATTGGATTAAAATGAGGTAGAATTGCACAAAATTGGTCAACCTCTGTCTCACTTCCAGAGTCATCGAAGTGTAGTAGCAGGACAAAGGATAGTGTCCTATTGTCATTATCAATGGCCCAGGATGCAGTGGATGACCTTGGTGTCTGATGTCTGACCAAGCTCTATGGGCTCCATAGCACCTGCTTCTGCCATCTTCATGGATGTTAGAACAAACTGTTCTTATCTGGCATGCCACTGGAGGAAGTCATCACATGCTTGAGGTAGACACTCCCCTAACTCATCAATGGGTTTGAGGCCCTTTGGTTACTTTCAACCTGTTTTAGCCCATCTGTTGAGATGGTTTTACCAGGATACTGCACAGCCTATAACTTCTTGGAGCCACAGGTGAGAGTTGGGTGAAAGGTGAACACCAAAGGTGGATGAGCAGCCCTGGAAAGGACTCAGCATACCCTCACACCAGAGGTGCTAGTCCTCCCTGAACACCCCATACACCTCAAGTGACTTCTAGGTTTCCCTTTGCAATCTAATTTTCTGGTATTGCTACTTTATACTGGCTACCTATAAACTTACTTTACTATACCAACTAGAAGGGAATGAGGGAGAGTGGTTGGGGGATCAGAACAAGATACAGTTTTTACACAAAAGACTTAGTAACTCTGACCATAGATAAAAATAACTTTGAAAGATTTTAGAACTCTGATAAAACATGATTTCAGAGGAATGAAGATGAATCACACCAACTGACTCCAGTCAGAGGGGAAGGAGTTAAGATGCAGAATGATACATTCTTTTTTGGACATGGTCAATGTGGGAACTTATTTTGATGGATGATATATATTTGTTATAAGGAGTTTGTTTTTCTTTTCTATTGTTGGGGGAGGGGTGAGGTGGAGTGGCAGTGGGAGAGAGAGGTATAAACGCTTGTAAAAATAATTAATTTGGGCCAGAGACGCTGTGCCAGAGGCTGATGTGGTTCATGCTGCTGTTTAGCCGGCAGGGGAAGCTGCAGCTGCAGAAATGGTACTTGGCTATGTCAGACAAGGAGAGGAAAAAGATGGTCTGGGAGCTTATGCAGGTCGTCCTGGCCAGAAAGCCCAACATGTGCAGCCTCCAGGAGTGGAGAGACCTCAAAGTTGTCTGTAAGAGATATGCCAGCCTCTATTTCTGCTGCGCCCTTGAGGAAGATAATGAGCTCATCACACTGGAACTGATCCACGGATATGTGAAGCTCCTGGACAAATATTTTGGCAGTGTATGTGAATTCGACATCATCTTCAACTTTGAGAAGGCCTACTTCATCTTGGATGAATTTCTGATGGATGGTGGTATCCAGGATACCTGAAGAAAAGCTTTTTAAAGGCCAATAAACAGATCTACTACAGGAGGAAGATGAGTCACCTTGAAGGGTCCTGGAGGAGGAAGGTTTGGCATAGTTTCCTACCCCAGTGGGAGAGACACTGCAGGGCTGCCATGCCTTGGCAGACATGGCTGGTTGCTTCAAAGTCATGGTCATTCCTGAGATATCTTCCAAGTTTAGATGGATGACCCTATCATGGAGAAGGCGAAGTGTAACTCTGGGGCCTTTTGAAAGGCCCTAAACCATCTCATTGCTTTTTTGCAGTTATTCACGTCTGGGTTTCTAGATAATAAACCTTTCTTTGTCTCTTTAAAAATCTCCCAGGAGTCTGCTATGCCAGCTGGAGAAGAGGAGTCATGGAACAGTGGAGAGACAGAAGAAACCTAACCCAGTTCTGGTAGTTAAGGAGTGTAAACAAAATTTCTTTCATTTGCACTTAATCCAGGAGCATAGTGATACTGAAAGGTATTTCTAGAATACTTTATGTCTGTAAGTCAGCACTGGCTTGATTAGTTTTGCGTCTGTTTATGAGTTTATCATTAAAAATAAATCAGTTCATCAGTTAAAAAATATCCTAGTATCATTCATGCTTTCTGTCAACATGATTATGTCTTTCCTTGCCTTCTACCTTTATGCCCCAAACATACCCACCTTATAGGCAAGTGTTGCCCTCATCTTTCACATTCCTGGACCTGTTGTGATCATAAGCATGCACTGACTTGCATTCATTCCCTACTTCTTTTACATGTCATTCTTAATCATCTGTAATGTATTTATCTATGAACCAGGAGAACATCTTTAAATTAATCTTTAAAGAAGGGAGAGACAATCCCGTCATCAGGGAACAAAATTAATTCCAGTAGGTAGTCTTAGCCTTCACTTCGAATGTTCCTAAACCCATTCTTGGAGAGTCATTAATGAGATGCTGGGGGTCTGAATGTTCAGATTTCACTAAGAAAATATGTGATGGAAGGAATTTGAGAGTGTGTGTGTGTGTGTGTGTGTGTGTGAGTGTGTATGAATAATGACTCTCTCTAAGCATCACTGTTCTTTCTCCTGGAAGGAGCAGTGTACTAGGAATCAAGAGAACTTTTTCTTGTTTCTATCACTTGATAGTCTCATGACCTTGAACAAGTCTCTGTATCTGTCTAGGCCTCGGTTACCTTGTCTATAAAATGAGGAGTTTGGACTGAAGGATCTCTAAAATTCCTTCTACCTCTTAACAGTTTATGATTTTGTGATTTCTGCAGCTCATTGTAATGGCTGATGTTATTTAATTAATAATCAGTAGAGTATCTCAGAAGCAGGTATTATACATATTTTGGAAATGGGAAAACTGAGGGCCAGTATCCAGGGTGCATTTTTTCTAGGAGGTTCCCAGCAGCAGTTTGCTAAAGAAGTTTCTTTTTAAAATTTTCTTTGCATTTCCAAAATTTAAACTCATGGTATTATGTAATTAACCTCTAGTCTGGAGAGGTCCCAAGCGCCTGGCACCTAAAAGGAATCATATTCCAGAAAAAAGAAAAATTGTATCCCTTGCTCTCACCTTTTCCTTAAGTTGTCCTAGAATCCTTCCAACTGAGACAGATCTGATACTTAAGGAAGATCTTTTGACAAAGCCTGGAAGATAATTAGAGGCTTAGGAGCAGGTGGGGGAGGTGGTTATTAGTTGAAACAGTAGTAAGATTGGGAAGAAAGGGGCCAAGGAGGCTTAGAGGTGAAAAGGATCAATAAGCCTTTATTAAGGGGGACAAACACACCAGAGTGGGGAGGCAGCAACCTAGTCCATTGGAATAAACATAGGATGGAGCAAAGGGGAGCCTGGTTGTAGCCCCAGTATTATTATGAAAACTTGCTCTGCCCTGCCTACTCTGCAAAACTGAAAAATGAGATTGTAAATTGTGTATAAGAAAGACCCAGAGACACTGGAAGAGAAAAGGGACAAATGGGATGTTTGTATTCATAGGTACCAAATAAAAAGTTGGCTCTTTCCCATTCAATTTAACAAACATTTACTATGAGCCAGTGTTTGGGCACTATGGTAGGGGACTTCAATTGCAAAGATGGGTAAGACAGAAATCCTGGTTTCAAGAATTTGCAATTGAATAGACATAAAAAAAATCTGGTACAAGGCAGAATGGGATGAATGCAAGGGGTACAGAGAAAGTGCTTTGGGAAATTGGAGTAGGAAGAGAATTCAGAGAAAAGGTTAGTGGAAGAGGTGATGTGTAAGCTGAACCTTGAAGAAAGAAAGGATATAGAACAGGTAGAGATAGGGCGTGGAGGTGGAGAAAGAATAATTTTCAATCATGAGGGAAAGCATGAGCATAGGTATGGAGATGAGAGATGACAGGACAAAACTGTGGGACAGAGTGACCCACTTTCACTGGTGCATAGAGTATACAAAGGGGCGGAATGTGAAATAAACCTGGAATCAGTTGAAGCCAAATTATTGAGAGGTCCCTGAATACAGAATCAAGAATTTTTATATATTTTTTGCCAGAGGCCATAGGGAGCTCCTGAAGATTTTTTAATAGAAGAATGATGTGATCAAAACAATACATTAGGACAACTACATGAGCAATATGTGGAAGCTGGAGTGGAGGAGGGATAAACCAGAGGGAGGATGACCAGTGAAAGATCTGTTACATTAGTCTAGAGAAAAAAAAAAAAAGACTAGCTATGGTATTTGCAGCAGGAAGAGAAAGGAGGGAATTCTCACAACCAGGTGAGAGATATTGTAGAGGTAGAAAGAATAAAACTCACCACTGCTACCTCTAGAATCTTCCTTTGCTGCCATCACTCAACAGCTTTTCTGCCTTTGAAGTTCGTTAAAATTTTCTACTTTATTCAAATCATGGTGGCAGTTGTGTACTGTATCCCCAAGCCATTCTTCTATCTTTTAAAATTTTTTTAATTAATTTATTTTGATTTATCAACCATCACTTCCATCAGCTTTTGAGTTGTAAATTTTTCTCCCCCTTCTTTCTTGCCTCCCTCCCAAAGATAGCGTGTAATCTGATATAGGCTATACATATACATTCCTATTAAACATATTTTCACATTAGTGATGTTGTAAGTAAGGATTAGAACCAATAGGAGAAACCAACAGAAAGAGGAAACAAAACACAGCAGAAGAAAAAAAAATAGCAAATAGTATGCTTTGATCTGCATTCAAACTCCATAGTTCTTTCTTTGGATGTGGATAGCATTTTCCATCATGAGGCCTTTGGAGACTCCTGTCTTTTTTTAAGGAGTACAACACCTGGCTTAGGGTGAGTGGGCTGGGGGTAAGGCCTTTCTGTTTGGCAAACTTCTGGAAAAACTGGAAAGCAGTCTGGCAGAAATGAGGCCTGCATCATACGATGGACCATAATAAGCTCCAAGTGTATGGATACATGACCTAGATTTGAAAGGTCACAGAGTAAACAAATTGGAGGAGCAGAAAGGAGATACCTTTCACCTGGGCATGGGGAGAGTTTTTGTCCAAACAAAGAATTGAGAGGATCACAGATAATACAAATGAAAATTTAATTTCATAAAACTGAATTTTTTTTTGTATAAGCATAGCCTGTGTTGTTAGAATTTGGAGGAAAACGGCTGGGGAACAGCAAACTTTGCAGCAAATTTCTCTGATAAGGCTGTGATGAAGAAGATATGTAAAGAATTGATACAAACATGTGAGAACAAGAGCCATATCTCAATGGATAAATGGTCAGAGAATATGACCAGGCAGTTTTCAAAAGAGCTGGAAGCTGTCAACACCTAGGAAAATTATTCCCTCAGATCCTGCCAGGTGTTAATGTTCCCTCTGCCTAAATTCACTTTGTATACATATTTATATTTGTATATGTATTGTGTTCCCCTAATAGAATGTAAGTCTCCTGAGATCAGGAATGGTTTTGTTTTTGTTTTTGCTTTTGTCTTTGTATCCCAGCACCTGGTACAGAGTAGGCATGCAATAGAAGTTTGTTGAATTGAATTGGGGGTGAAGACCTAGAGGTATAATAAGGTAGTAGGTAAAGTGCTACACTCAGAGTCAGGAGAGAGCTGGGATCTAATTCTGCCTCTGATACTGTCAGTGGAAACGTCATGTAACCTCAATGAACCTCAGCTTTTTCATCTGTAAAATGTGCATGATATTTGTAATACCTCACAATGCTGTTATGAGGGTTAAATGAGATAATATATGTAACATGCTTTGCAAATTGTGAAGTCTGTATAAACAGCAGCTGTCACGAAGTGGGACAAAGCAGGAAGCCATTACCTTTTCTCTGGTCAGAAGAAAACAGCACATTCATCCATCCAGCCCTTGTTATGACCCTTCTCTAGTATCTCTAACACTCTCCTCGAACATGTCTACTCTGCAGGTGCTTCACCTACCATGAATGAATGAATGAGAAAGCATTTAATAAGTACATGCTATATGCCATAAACTGTACTAGGTGCTAGTGATACAAATATAAGAAGAAAGCTAGTTCCTACTCTCAAGGAGTTTATATTCTAATAAGGGAGACAATATAGATAAGGGGATAGTAAGAGGATGGTGAATGAAGTCACAGAATAACTGATTGACATGTCCTTTCCAGGTATGGTAGTGTTGATTCCATTCCTGTATCATCCTTTTCCCCAGATTGAACACAGGTGTAGCCCTTTCTCACTGTCCTCTCTTTAATCTCCCGGCAGTATCACTAAAAATCTCATTAGGAATAACTGTCAGAGCAAGGAGAGTCATAATCCAATTACTCAGGAACAAAATAAATTGCCTGGGCTTTGAGTTCCCCTGTGGGCAAAGTCAGAAGAGGGTATAAAGAAGTGTTGGACAAAGTTGGGAAATCTTTTTGCCATTTCCCTCCCATGGCCCCCTGAATTCTGATTCAGTGTAGGTAAGTCATCCAGATGTAGCCTTTTCTATCTGCTAGGTTCAGCACTGGGGGTGGAGAAAGGTGAGGTGGGTACTCAGAACAGTGGGTTGGGGAGTGGGGGGAAGTGTGGATCAGGCCCACCACCAGTCTGCTATTTTTCCTCCATTTGGCCATTATCTCTATATGCCCAACCCACCCTTATTTTTCCACCTAGGAGAATGCAGACCTTTCTATCTCCTCTCACTACAAGCTCTGGCTCAAGAGAGTTTTGTGGGGCTTTTGCTGGCATTTGGGATCCTCTCGCTCTCTTGATGTATGTCCTCCTAGAGAACTGTTATCTCCTGGGATTCATTCACTCGAGGGGGATAGCTTAGATATCAGCAAAAATATCTTAGGGGACATGGGACAAAGCCTCCTATCCCAGAAGAGGGAGAGCCTATCTGTTAGCA